TACAGGAAAACTATCCAGTTCTTTATAATGAATTTAAGACTCCTGCAGAACCCTAAGATTTTCAGGTAGAAGTTATGGAGTAGAAACCACAAACAAGGCTTTTAAAATTCATCGGATTCATGATCAATGCCCCTATATCCTCTAAACACAGAAATAAATCCTTTGAATTTACATCAGAATAAAGCATATAGTAAAAGGATTAGTTACCATTCAATTCTCATGTATTGACATATACAACAGTCATGATAATTCATTCAAATGTTTTTTTCTTTTCTAGAAAATTGAGAGCTGGAACTCAACCTTGTTAAAACAAAACAAAATTTATAGAAAAAATACAAGTGTTGCCCTTTTTTTTTCCTCCCAAGCTACACAAATTGAAGATAGATAACACTGGGTGGAAAACTTTGAACTGGTAACCAGGCAGTAACAACTGTTGCAACATTTCAAATTCTATTCGCCTTGAAAAATTAGAGATCATTTATAATGACTTCACTGGATATGAGCCTCCAGTTCAGTGGACAAAATTTCCTCTCACCATCATAGTTGCTTTTCTTTTGTAGTCTCTCTGAAATATCACCAAAGCATAAAGTAGTTTTAGTACAATGTAGAAGAAGGCGAAGCTAAGAAATTGTAGGTAGGGAAATTAAAGAGAAATTTACAAACACTGTTGACATGATAACTTTGCCATTCTCAATATCTTTCAACAATAATTGGGCTCATTATATCTCTTTAATTCAAGGTGCATAACTCAAAATTTTATGATATAATTAACTATCATAGAAATATAAAAATAGCAATAAAAGTACTCAAATTGAGGATCATCATTGAATCCAAACACCAATTCCTAAGAATTAACATATCTAACACATAAATTTGAAGTTTTACTTACATGAAATCATTGAACGTTATTTAAGAGCTACTCAACAACTACTTCGAATTGCAAGCATCATGCAAATTAATGTTGTCGGTTCTTCAGACTATTCCAAATTAATGGACATAAGAAATACAAATTAATGCAACAGGGTATGTATATGCTATAGTCATGAGAGAACCATCACCGGTTCTTCAAACCCTTGGGTTGATGAACTCAAGATCATTTGGATTTTCCATAGCAGTATTCTGCAACCTCCTGATATTTAAAGAGTTTGTTGAAAGTTGCCGTAAGAGTTGAAATCTTCCAAAATCATTAATCTGCTATATTAAATTTTTTATAGACAACATTCAAGAAAACTAGGAACAATATCATTTTAGGTTTTTAGATGATTATAGAAATCAATGGAGCTTACATCCTATGACATACCAGTTTCGCATCTTAGTTCAAATGGTGAAACAAAAAAATAGAAAGCGAGAACATGAATCTAATCAACTCTTACTGAGAAAACACTTCTAAAGGAAAAACATTATACTCAGAAAGCACAAAACATGGGTCAATGCATGTTACCTGGTAGCATAACATAAATAAAACTGATAATTTGGCCAGCCAGAGCTAAGTGCTTTGAAGTTATAGACTTCAAACTAGATAACTGAATACATTATACTCAGAAAGCACAAAACCTGGATCCTCTTTATGAAGTTCAAAAGCTCTTAAATGCAAAATTCGTATATATCTAGAAAATATATAATGCAAGGCCAAGATATAAAAGAAAAATAGCTAGAAAAACATTGAATGCAGCTAGAACCTTCATCAATTTAATGTAAGTCCTCTTTGTGAAGTTCAAAAGCTTTGGTTGTCTTATGAATAAAATATTTGATTATGACATACCGAATATTTCAATGGCTAATCAGATTTTAAGAAAATTTATTAAATTGATATCACTGAAATAATCATTGAATTTTCCTTAAAATTAAAAAAGAATAAACTTTACAGTGGCAACTTCCTAAAATGTTGCTTAGAATATGATCCATTAATGAGTTCAAATAAGGGCAAAATGAATTATGTTTGGTCAATGCTATTCCTCTAACTTTTGCTTACTAAAACTATGAAAACAATTTTTTTAAATAAAAATATCATGTGTGCTCGTCATCTAACTTCTCTTTATCAAAGTAATCCACATCGATGTTATTCAATCTCTCTTGGTGTATTGGAAATTTTATCTTTGAGCCCCTATCAACATATTTAAATTCAAAGGTGTATGAGGTTGTATCAACATCAGAAAAATTTTGACTTTTTTCAAGTGGTTCTGTGATGCCTTCAACAACCGCAACGATTACATTTGTGAGCAACTTTACTTGTTTTACTCTGATTTTTTACTTTGTCCTACCTGTAGGCCTACATGTATTTGGTGACATTATATATAGCTCATTGTTAGGTGCAATCCATTTGTTCTTTCTCTGGAGGGTGGAGATTGTACCATCATAGGTGAATTGAATTTGCAATGTCGAAAAAATATATTAAACTACACATGTGGGTAAATTGAATTTGCTAAAAATATATACCTGATTGTAAGATAATACTCATCCAAATGAGTATACAATGCTATTTGCTAATGAAATATGCAAACATTATTGCAAGGAAGGTCGGTCATTTGCCAATACCCGAAACTACACTTTTTTGTTTACATCAACTTCATATCTTTCTTGGTTTTTTTCGACCTCGATCTTAAATGTTGTTGACTTTCTGATAAAGAATCTTGTTTTTCTTAGTTAATATTTATATGTAGTTCTTAATTGTGGGAACTAATGGAGCACTCAACTTGTTTCATTAGCATGCATTGAATGAAATCCACTCAATCAACATGTTTCTCTCTAGCTTTTCTATTTCATGGGTTTAAAGAGTCAGATATGTTGTTGGTATTGGGATGTTTTTAATTTCAGGCAAATTTATAACGAAGACCGGTCAGATATGCATGGAGTTGGGGGCTAATTTCAAGTATCTCTTCAAATTTTTATCAAACTTTGATCTAATGTATGCATTTGCAGCCAGTCAAATATTGAGGCAAATTGTCTTGCTACCATGAAAATGGTGGTATTTTTTAATATTCTAATATAAATGACGCACACAAACTCTATGTTCAACATTAGGAAGTACATCCCTGAGTGCCTCAATCAAACTCTTTTCCATATCTGAGATAAATTCTAATGACTCAACTTTGAACTCAAAGATAAAGTTAAAGGCTTGAATAACAATTCCCAAGACTTCTTTGACTTAGACCCAACAACAATTGTAAAAATTCCTTTATTCCCATCCATGGTATTTGCTTAAAGCAACACTTATGAATATTTGAATTTTAAATAGCATGAATCAAGCCTCACGAGATGTCTGCAATCAATTATGAACCCATCAATACACACCCTAAAATTTATGTATATTCTCTCAAATGTCTGACAATACCATTGTGATCGAAAATTATGTGAGAAACTCGTGTTTCTTTCAAGAAGCTCTGTGCATAGTACAAGTACAAACTATCATCAAATGCTCTAAATATTTGATCCCATGCTAATTGCCTGGATTTCCATTCAGGCACATATGATAGTGATATAAAGCAGAATTAATTTATTTTGGAGGCATATTTGGACATTTTTTTACAATATCTTGTATATCATTGGTGACACAATGGACATTGCTTGTTTGTTACTAGCATTGTTCACACTTGGGCATAATTGTGACCTTTTATGGACAACCATTATAAGAACATATCACGATAACTCTTCTTCTATCACTCGTCTTAAACCTCATCCCAAAATTATCAGAAATATCTAGTGTCTGAATAAATTATCTCAGGCTCGATGAATCTTTAAACCATGAGCCAATCTTTAAAAACATATTATTAGACATTTTGCTCATTAACCGCTCATCAATATATTCATCATGCTCATATGTGCACCTGCTAGTAGTTTCAAAACGGGAATGATAGTATTCAACTATTTCATTACCACGTGACAGTATGAACTTCAAATTACCTATACCGGTGTAGACAAATACAATCATGAAAACATTAGTGAAGTTTTGGCTAGCTATTCTATAATTAACAATGCAAGAAAGCAATAAATCTAAAAATGCAATAATAAAATCTCAAAATAAATGATAACTATGATAATTATACAAATACATATTAAGAGGAAAGATTGAGTATGCATCAATAAAGTGAACTCAAAAAATAATAATAAAAAAAAGTCACTGCAAAGATACCAACTAAAAGGTAAGTTGGACTAAAATCCAACAGAGCAACAAAGGTGGATCTACTTGAGATAACTTCTTCAAAAAAATAGGTCAAATGATCATGAAAGCACTTTTCAATGTTAACTCCAATGAGACTGCAACAATAAAAATGACAAATTTAAGATCTGACAGGTTAATTGAAAAAGAACAGAAGAGCTCTCCAAGATTTTAGGAGCAAATGGATGGAGATTTGGAGGCAGGAAAAAATGAGCAACATTGTAGAGCAATGGAAGTGCAATTCAAAATCATTAAAAAATCAGGGCCATAAGATTTTATGCAAAATACCTCATGTTTAATAAATAGCTCCAATTGCTAAGGTTGTCACTAAAAGCAATGGAATAAGAAGCAATCAAAGTTTGTGGGAAATACACGTGCGGTAACGGCAACCATCAAGGTAGAAGACGAGCTACAAAGTAAAGAATGGAGCTAGGCGTGCGATGGAGTGGTTGTTCTGAAGTAGAGAATATTACGTGTGGAGTTTGCATACATGTAAGCTCGTTGTATGATCGTGTTGTACACTGTTCTTCACATGAGTAGAACGGTGTACAAGACAGCTGCATAAGACGATATTATGTCTTGTTTTGGAGAAATTATTGGGTATGGACACATCTCTGCATGCGGTGTCCGATCCTGACCGTAGATCACGGTGATCTACGGTCAGGATATATTTCAGTATTTTTTTTTTTTCTTAAATTTTAGGTGAGGCTCATCGAAATACATCCTGACCGTAACCGCCGTATGAAATAATTTTTCCTTGTTTCGAGGGAGTGAAGGTTTAGGATGGTTTGAATGAAATATTTAGAATTTGGATGATTATTTTATTATTTATAAAGTCTTAATTGGTAAAACAGTTTTTGTTTCGGTACCCTTAGTCCTGTTTGGGTTTAGGGTTAGGGCTCGGCGGTGAAAAGCCTTCGCAAATGAAGAGATCCGGCAACGCCATAGAGTCGATGGGATGTAGCGAATCAGGCGCAAACTTGGCTGGACGTCTGGGAAAAGAGATCGTCGGTGCTGTAAGTTCTCAGAGGATGAAACCTCCCTTCCGACCTGCACAGGATGACTCCAAGCCCCTCCTCGAAGACCCGGTCCGCCAGCTCTAATCAGCACTCATCTCCTTTAAACCTTCTCCATTACTCGCTCAGTTGTGGTGTTGATTTTCATACTTTTTACCAAAGAAACTCGTTTGATGCTGCGTAACAGATACTGAGGTCGGTTCCCTTCGAGACTGAGCAAGCCATGATTCGATTACCGCCGTTTCCGCTTAAGAACGCCAAATTCTGATCCAGTAACTGGTAAGTTTTCTACTTATCTGTGCAATCATGTTATTCTTCCATCTGGTTTATGATGTGAATGTAGAAATCTCTGGTTCTGCTGTAGATTTTATGTCACATGAGAGGCTAGGGTGTCTTGCAGTGCCTATTAACAGGATTTATCATTGTATTTATGAAATCCAACCAAACACAAAAATCAGAAGAGGTTTTTGCATATGGAGGCCCCCAAACATTACAAATTACAGATAAAGGTCCCGAAATATGCAAATTACGGGGGAAAGTTTCTGTTACAGATATCATGCAGAGAAACATTCATAAAATAACAGTTGAATGCTTCTTCTTGCTACAATGTTTCAATATTCTCAGTACTACTACGTAAACTGCAATGCTTCAAAGGCTATATTGAGGAGCTCCAGTGGCAACACTTCCGTTCCCTCACCACTGAGAAGTATTTCATATGCGAATTCTCTCACTATTTAGGAGGAATGAATATTCACATCAATGTTTTGAAAAAGGTGAGCGGAGCGCCGCCGCTGTCTAGGCTACCGCCGGCGAGGCTCTCTTGCTGGCTACTTCAAGTCTGCCACAAAGTCCGATGACTGTTTACTTTCCTTTTGGGAATGGCTTTGTGCATGGCCTAAGAATGTGGCATTTGATGTTGGTTTTGGGTTGCTGTATCGGAGGTTTAGGCTCGACTTGCATCTGAACACGAACTAGTTTCGTTGGATACGGGACAGAAAAAGCCGGGGCGGTATGAATTCCGAGGCGATTGTAAGCGCGCCATTGCCATGGCTAGGGTGAGGATTGCATGGGATGAAAGCTATTTATTAATGAAGAGAGGAGAAAGATAGGATTTCTCTAGCCTCATCTTCCCCGCGATTCAAAGGTTTTTGGCCAAAGCACAGGCAACCAGCTACTTAGTTGCTCTTTGGAACCATTCACGGCGTCGGTAACATCTGTAATGGAGAATTTCCCCATAATTTGCATGTTCGGTGACCTTTATCTGTAAATTATAATGTTTGAGGGCCTCCATATTTAAAAATCCCAAATTAAAATTGCATGAGTTCCATGAATTTATCAATTTTTGGATTTAAGATCTCAAATTTTGCCTTCGATCAAGCCTAAATCCGATTTACAAAATCCAACATCCGATTTATCAGGATTTTTGAGTGTTTTGCATATACTTTTAAAGTGTTGGGTTTAATTAACTCAATCAAATTGAAACAATTTGAAGCCATTTTATTTAGAATTTCCTTGCCACTATATACTTTAGGTCCCAATGCTTCTTGTTGCTTTTGGAATTCAAGACAATGGAGTGAGTATCTATCTTAATTTCCTTAGTATATTCTAATGTGTCACATACAATCAATCAAATAAAGAAAGGAACATGGCATCAGGACATTACATTCCTAAATTGTGAATATTATACATGTATGCAACAACATGTTTAATGGTGTAACTAGAGATGGCTATAGTGTAATCCTATATGAAGTTGGCTGTGGTCTAGGTCCAAATAAATGGTTATGGAACAATTGGATTTGTTTGTGACATAGACTGGGATAAGATCATTAAGGTTTAATGATGGATGTAACACAAACAAGTTATAATGCAATTCTTCAAGGAGAGTTGTGACGCAGATTTGGAAAGAGACAATTATTATGTCGCAAGTGAGGTTATGGTGTAGTTTCTTAAGGAGATGATTGTTATAAAAGCTTAGCTGTTGACCACAAGGTCAAGTGGTCAGTTGTTAAGCTTCTGTATATCTTCCAAGCTTAGAAGAGGTATATGTTGTCTACCTCACCACTAGGTTCTTGATGTTTTTGGGTACTGATAGACTCGTATGTTTCTTAAGAGAATCACATGACCACATGAACTGTGGTGTTTTGAACTAAAATGTATAAATATGTAATATATTACTATATAAATAACACACACATATATATATATATATATATATCGAGCTAAAATGAGCTGAACATAATAGACAAAGGGCTGTTCGTGTTTTGACTCATTTATAATTTGAGCTTAAGAAATTATTAGCGTTCAACTCACTTTACTGAATGAGTCGAACACGAGCTGTGAGCAAACAATGAGCGTGTTTGACAGCCCTATCCATGACTCTTGGCACACTGGCATGTCGTTGAAGCTGTGACAGCCATAACCATCACCGCATAAATTGATTAATGCTATATATACCATACTAATAACTCAAAAGTTGCCAATCATATTTGGGCATTTACATATGTGCCATGCAATTCTTATATATTTATGTATAATATTTAAATTTTAGTGTCCCAAAACATCAAAACATCAAATCTGGTTGCCCAAATTGCGAAAGGACAAGATCAATGATATGACACAATGCTAAAAGATTTGTTCAAGCTCAAGTAAACACCAAGGCAGTGTTTGGCTAGAACTTGAATTTACATTAATTAGGATTGATCAAACTCAATAAATTCGATAAATCTATGTGACACATATGGTGCTCGTGAGCAAAGCCGGAATAAATTCTTAATCCACATCTCAAATCGGATTTATTAAATGTAGATTTATGCCGGAAAATAGAAACAACGACAGAAAAGGAGATGAAACACAACAAAATTTGATCTAATAGAGCATTGGATCTAATAGAGAAAAGGAGATGAAACACAAAAGTTAATTGAGCCCACACAACTAACAAAAAAAATAATATAATCTCATCAATTGCCCCCAAACAAATTTTTATAGTTGGCTTTAAGAATCCTTTATTAATATAGGGCAACATAAATGGGTGTTTGGTAGCATACTTTTAATAGAATTTAATCATAGATTTAACTTATATATATATATATATATATATATATATATATATATATGCTTTTGGGTTAGAAGTGATAGGTTCAAATCTGAATTGCTTGTCCCATCTTTAGATCGAGACTGAAGATGATACCTCATTCGCAATCGCATTATTGGTTATATATAGGTGGTTACAAGGATTTAATGTAGTGTATGTTGAAGTAATTCTTCAATTTGAACATTCTAGTTCCAAATGACTTGGGCTTCATTTGAGAACACTATAAACCTCCTTCGCATTGCAGTGCATGTCTGCACAAAGAAAAGTTTTTGTTTGGCGAACGAGCTTTTCTGAACACAGATTTTTTACCTTTTACCTAAAGCCGAAGCTTCTTCAAGGCGTAGCCTTTATATTGTATTTACAGTGAACTTAAAAAAAGTGTGATTCTTTTGTAGGCTGGTACAATTATGCAGTCATGGCTGCCATGGTTTGCGTTGGGACAAACCTTCAGTGCCCTGCTGCTTAAAATCAACCCAGATGAGAGAGAGAGAGAGAGAGATACAGCATGGCCGGATGTTACTGAATCTGTATTGAACGGCTATACTTACTGAAATACTGTTTTGTAATTGTTCTATTAGCACCACCCGCTGATTCTATTCAAGGTTCACGAATTTCTTTATTTATTTATTTTGGGTAATTACATACAGACCACCTTAAACTTGCTATTTACAAACAACCCATATTTTTCATTTTTATAAAATTCTCAATACTTTGATCGTGCCACGCATAAATGTATTGGTTCGGTAGTTCAAAAAAATCAAATAGCGATGTTTAGGGCGGTCTGTATGTAATTATATCAATTTTTGAAATTGAATTTGTCTATTCATATGAGGGCCCGAGAGCGGCTTATATTTAGTTTGAATTATTTAAACTTAAAATTACGAAAAAAAAAAATTTATCACAAATTTATAATATGTGCATTAAAATTATAATAAATATTAGTTATTAAAAAAAAAAAAAAGCTAAAAAGATGAAATTTTTGGGAGTAAATACCCAAATAAAAGATGGAATTCAATTTTTTTTTCTTTTAATCAAGCCTAAATCAAATTTTATATTGAGCTTTTTATTGAAATTATTTATTGAATAAATAATATTGTCATAAATATAAACAAATCGAACAACAAGCTCTTAACAGAATTCCTATAGGAATGTCCTCATATAAGCTAATATTTGTGGAAAAAATATTACCTCAGGAGTACTGATGCATCAGTACTCCTGAGGTAATATTTTTTCATACTTGTGAAAGCTTATTCCCTTACAATCGAGTAATCGTCAAAGCTTTTAAACACATTTGATTATATTTACTTGATTTATAGCCCTACCTGCATATGCACATTCTTAACATAAAAAACACACATTTATGCAAAAGCATGGACTTTTATGCTAAAATACAAATATTCAACCCCACACATGCATGCTATCATACAAGCTTTCAATAACACAAATGCAAACATGGAGAAGAAACAATATGGTTTAAAAGCACTACATTTCCAAAAACTTTATGACAAAAGCTAATAAGAAGAAACTAGTTGAGAATCAAAACAAAAAAAAATATAATAAACAAGAAAATGATTCACGGACTAGCACAACTAATGAAGTAGTTAGTCAAAATCTCGCAACAAATGCAACCGTTTTGTGTTTCTTACGAGAAATACGTTATGTGAACGATGACATGAATCATACCACATGATCAAAGACATATGCGGACAATGACATGAATCACCCCCCACATTGTCAGACACGGTGTGATACGATCCAGACTATGATCTAAATTCTTACACACCCCTTCTTCCTGATTCCGACTTGGTGAAGCTCCCCAACCTGGTGAGAAACCGCACCCGCTTCTCCCACATACAACTAGCTTCTCTTACAGCACACCCATTCCTCCCCCTCCTCCTCTTTTCCCTACCCACCATCACCTCCTCCTCCCCCTCCTCCCCCACCCACTCCTCTTCCAACTCCTCCGAACAGCCACCATTAATCCTCCCCTCCAACTCTCCCACGAGCTCCTTCACCGCCACCTCCCCATCCCCCTTATTCCTCAACAACACCTCCCCCACCTCCGCCGCAGTCATCACCGCTCCATTCCTCATCCACCTCTCTGCAACCTCCATCATCTCCTCCCAATCCCCACCAACATACCTCTCCACCATCTCCCTCATCTCATGCCCCCCGCAAGCTCCCAGCTGCACATGGACATCCATTCTTCCCGGCCTCAACAGTGCCTTATCAACCTCTCCCTTATAATTCGTCGTGAACACTATCAGCTTCTCTTCCCCACAGCAAGACCACAACCCATCTGTAAAATTCAATAACCCTGATAATGTCACCCTCTCCCATCCCTCATCGTCATCATCCGCCTTCCGCTTCTTGGAACACCGCTCACCAGCTAATTGCAGGGAGCAATCGATGTCCTCGATCACTATAATGGAACGAGGGGTGGTTTGGAGGAGAAGGGATTTGAGAGCAGAGTTGTGCGGCACGCGGGTGAGTTCTAGGTCATACACGTCATATTGAAGATGATTCGCCATGGCGGCGATTAAAGAGGACTTACCAGATCCAGGAGGGCCATGGAGGAAGTACCCTCGCTTCCACGGTCGACCAACCCTTGTATAGAACTCACGTCCTGCCGCGAAGGAGTCGAGATCGGAGAGAAGAAAAGAGCGAAGGTTAGGGTTTAGGGCTAGGGTTTGGAATGTCGCAGGATGGCGGAAGGGGACGGAGGACCATGAGTTGGGAGATGAATTGGTGAAAATCCGGCGGTCGCGGGAGGTGATTGTGAGGTTGCGAGCTGAGGAGGAGAGGTGGGAAAGGTAGGGGAGGAGGATGGCGTGGGAATGGCGCTTGGGGAGGCGGAGGGAGAAGAAGCGGCGTTCTTCGAGGGAGTCATGGAGGGAGTCGGAATGATGGGTCCAGAGAAGACGATGGCCGGCGAAGGTGTCGTGGAGGGAGTGGTTGGGAGAGAGAGAGAAGGAGGGCGGGGAAGAAGGAGAGGATGAAGAGAGGGTGAGGCGAGGGGGAGGGGATGGGGGGTGAAGGAGGAGATGGTGAAAGAGGTAGAGATGAACATGGCGGTAGAGATCGTTAGGGTTGATAGCAGAGGAGCCGAGGAATTCCGGGATGTCGAAGTAGGAGTAGGGAGTAATGGCGTCTTGTAGGGATTCCCAGAGGGAGTGGAGGAGGGAGAGGAGCTGGGCGGGGAGGATGTTTTGGAGGACGGTGAGGAGGCCGAGGAGGGACCACATTTGGGATAGAAGCTCCATTATCGCTGCTTGCTTCTGGGTATTGACATTTGCAGGCTTATAAAGGAGGAGGAAGAAAAGATGAAGAAGAAGGTGACTCGCAAATTACTTTGCGCTCTTTGTGCTTTGCGCTTTTATTACTTTATTTTTTATTTATATGGATCCTGGCTATATGCTGGTGATGGTGTGGATTGCATGATATCATAAGGTCGAGAATATTATGTGATATGATTCACACCATCATCTGTACGTCCTTCCTTCATTTGGATTTGGATGTACTATTTTCGTCATTCACGAATAAAAAATTGGGTCGAAAAAATGATAAGAATCAAATTAATCAATGGTTGTAGTTTGGTTTGTTAGTCTAAGTTGAGTTTGAACTAAAATTTTCGGGATATTTGACTTTGGTGTAGACATTTCAACCTTACATTAGATGCTTCGGCCAAGTGCGATGATGTGATTTTCAATGGTTTGTCTGGTATCATTGTAGCTGAAGCATATATATACGTGTGTGTGCCACCAACAAATTTTTATCAATCATGAATTTTAATGTATTTTTTTATAAGAAATCTTCCAAATTCAAGATAATACGAGCCTTTATGGTCAAATTGACGGTCTCGATAAAAGACACCTAATGATGTCAAGATTAGATGAATAGGGGTCCAATGAAGCCCATATCAAACAAATGAAGCACAATTGAAAGCTTTGGATTGTGAATTAAATGATGAAATGAATTGTAAATTGGATGTCAATTGAATCATCATAGGCTAAATAAGCCCTCACATCTATACTAAATTTCTTAAACTATTAAATTTCCTTATATAACTTTTTTCCCACAAAGAGATGTCCATTAGCTAGTGTTAGTAAAGGTATGTGTTTATCCATCTACTTTATGGCTTATTAAACTAGTGATGAGTTATTTCAATATTAACTATTGAAAACATATGATCTTCTGCAACTGTGCCTGAAAACAGAATTTAAACTGTTTTGCGAAAGTAAGAGAGAGAGAGAGAGATAGAGAGAGAGAGAGAGAGAGAGAGAGAGAGAGCTATTCATTACATTATCTGCTCCAACTCATCAAATTTAAATTTTTATGTTTATTTTACTTCCAGAATTACATAAATATTTTTAATCAAGCATTTCCATGCATAAGATAAAAAAAAAAAAGAGATAACATGCATAAGATAATACCTTCATTTTCACCATTCTCATTGAAGACACTCCAACACGAGAAAATATTACATCTAGACATGGATCACATCATGCTGTCAATTCACGCCAGAATTTGAGCGGAGTGCTCTCTCCCTCTTTCTCTCTCTCTCTACACGTCTTTTCTAATAGCTTTGTGGGCTTATTTTCTCTTTATTGATTTATTCCTCTTTGCAACATTCCTTTATCCAACTCCTTTATATGTTGTTGAGTGCCAAGACAAAGCAACTTCTCCTTTGGAATAGTAAATAGCCAGATTACTTATAATATATATATTTTGGGACCATTAGTTTGTATAAACCAACACCTCATTTACAAGACAAGCTTGCTTGAATGATAACAAGTATAAGAGATTTGACATATTTTGACAGACTTTTCAAGGATTCTGAATTTCAATCATGATGATAAGAATGTCTTTCGAGCCAATTGAATCATGAAAAATAAAATATTTCAATCATGGTTATAAAATTCTAAATTTTGAACTAATTGTACTATGTGATATATAGTGTATTGTATGATCTATTTGTTATTTTAAATGAATTAAGGACATGATTATATCAGGAATAATACAATTAGTTCTTAATTGATTATACGATGTGAAAATAGTAAAAGAGAGGTTTTCAAGGGCGTGCTCACAACACAATGGCCTTGTTTCTATACCTTCTTTACCATCCTCCATGTTAAGAATATTACCATTGGAAGTGTAGTTGTTTTCTATTATTGGGTGGTATTTTGAACTTGATAGCAAATCTCCATCATCCGAGACGAATCTAGAGACATTGACATAGAATCTCAAGTCCATTTCTTGAACAAGAAACATTCAAACTTCATCAAGAGTCATACAAAACTCCGATTTCAGCAAACTTATGATCAAACTAATCGGCTCAATGGGACTGACCTGATGATATCAAATTTAATTCAATTCGAGTCAAATCAAGCCCAAATCAAGTCATCAAATCAAGTCCAAATCAAGTCATTAAACCACTCTTCAATTCGGAACTTTTGAAAAGAAGTCTCGAATCATAGAAATAACTGTTAATGCAGAATCATAATAAAATGAAGTATATTATAATTTGTCTGATGTATATTTTAGATTTACTTTACAGCGCACTATATTATAACAAGTAATATAAGTTCAAGGAAATCATTAATTATTTGTCCTTAATAAGCCCTTTATCTTTTTAATTTCCCCGTATTTTTTATGCTAATTAAGCTCCATACATCCTCTCTGCAACCTCTCGCTTCCTTGAAGATGGCATCAAATACACATGGCTTTGGAATCAAATTTTAGATTAAAGATGACTTTGTGTGAAGAACACTATGCTTTCTTTTTTCCTTTTGTTTTTCAAAACAATTACACTCTCTTTTGCCAAAGTTTTCTGAACTTTATCAGCTTCACTTTGGTGGTTTGGAGCATGCATGCTTGTAAAGTGCATGTAAATGGATGTATTATTCTCATTCCTCCAAGTCCTAATGCCTGGTTTCATGCATGCTAATGAAAACATTATGCTGCTCAGCTTAAAGCTGTAAGTTGGCTTAACTTGTTTCTGATCAAAGGAGTACAGGCAAATCAAAGCATAATCCAACCTTAATCTTTTGATTCTGACAAGTTTATATTATATTCTATTGTTTAAACTTTGTTCCCTGATTGTATAGTGAGCTGTGGACATGAATCTTCACACTTGTAATCTCTTCTTTTTTTTAAGCTTTTTAGTAAATGCTCGATGTTCTTTACTTAGTTTTTTTTTTATATATATTTTACATTTGTTTGTTTGTTTTCTGCATTTGCAGATAAAGTAATTGCAACTAAGTTGGCATTAAAGGATGAGAGTATGAGGTAAGGGGTGTAAACGAGTCGAGCGGAGCCCGAGCTACCCTCGACTTGAGCTTGAGCTTGTATCGAGTTTGTACAAGTTCGAGTTCACATAGGAGTCGACTTGTTCGTTATAAAAGAGAGAAATAATATTAATTTAAGGAATGGTTATAATGATATGACAAATAGAATGATCAGCAATTAGAAGAGGATTAATAACAAGAAATTACTTAATATAAAATATATAAATTTATTTTAAAATCATTTTTAGTACTTTAAAAATAAAGTCTTCAAATTTAGTATATTTTGAGTATATTTTATATAAATGTGTTTTCTTTTTTTTAATCAGCTGACTCACGAGCTTATGAGCTGAGTTGAGGCTAGCTTTGAGCTTGGATTTTTAACTCATCGAGCTGAGTTTAGAAGTCACTTATCGAGCCAGCTCCAGAGTCGGCTTGACTCCCTTACACCCCGTAGGTAACCGTGATGATCATGATTATTATGGCTCTTAAAGCCATATAGATGTTGGGTTTTTAAGCTCATTGTTCTTCTCACGGAGGGCGAAAATTAGAGCGGCTACATGTGAAAATGGCCGTCCAACAAAGGTTAACACATCATATGTTAGAAACCCGAAAGACTGTGAGCCATTAAGGATACAATGATGGCCTCATAGGGTTTTATTAACAAGCACGAGAGGAAATATTATATGCGGCCGACTGCATGTTCGAACAATGATCCTGATGTGATCATGCTGCCGTGTTTCATACGACTGCCGATTCAGAGCACCGTCCGTACATGCAATCGGCCGCACGTAATATTCGCTCCAAACATGCTGCCTAGTCCTCTACCATAAAATCACATCAATGTTCGTCGGTAAGTTCATCATTATGTCATACATAATAAAATACTTAATAATTTCTAAAAGATAATTTATTTAAAATTTCAAAATGCGTAATTAAACATTGCACTGCAAAAATAAATTTAAATAAGTCGTTCAAACTATCAAAAAAACATTTAAATTCAAGGGAATTAAAGCAAATCAAGCCAAATCAAAGATAAAAAATCAGGTGATAAAGATTAAATTTCTTAAATGATGATTAAATTTGATTTTATTTCTAATAATGATGATTTAATTTTGATTTCGGAGTCCAATTAAATTGTATGTTCCTCATTTACTTCAGTCTCCAAGCATTCGATTATAGCTTGTCTCCCCACCAACAGGAAACAAAGCTCAATAGCAATAAATATAAGGTTGGTAGATTTGATAATCATTATTTAACCTTGCTGGAGCGCATTTTCTGTGCGGACTCCTGACGTAGCTCCGCGTGCGGCGTAGACTATTCCTGAGTTATTTTCAGGTTATTTTTGGGTAATTTCTGGGTTATTTTGGTATTATTGAAAATAACCTAGAAATAATATGAAAATAACTCAGAAATAACTTCGGCCGCACGTAGAGCTACGTTAGGAGTCATCACAAAAAAAATTTTCACCTTGTTGGGTAGTGAATTTGGCCTAAATATTACATAGGTCCGTATGTACATCAACAATTGTAATGCATGCAAGTAGAAAAAAAAAAATCCGACCTCTTTTATTTGCACCGTTCGACGTATATATGTTGAACATACGTAATATTTGCTCGTGAATTTGATACCGAATATCTAAAGAATTTTGTGATTAGTTCTCGAAAAGCTAAGCATGCTCTTAGTTGCATGCTCATGGGGTTTTAGACCAGAATAATTAGAAGGAAAGAAAATAAATAAAATATACATATACCAATATAAAAAACATTATACATACGCGCACACATACAAATGTGTGAATATGCATAAAAACATATCCAACATTTATGTACATTATCAATTTCAATAAAATTATTCTTTGGGCGTTATATATATATATATATATATATATATATTGTGTGTGAGAACTTAGGTTCGATAGGTCGCCCTGACACGATCGACCGATCACTTTGGGTCTGATCGGCCATCTCAACCTAATCAACATATTTTCTGGGCTCGATTTGCCACCCTGGCCCGATCGTCTGATCTTTTGGGTTTGATCGATCACACCAGTACGATCATCTGTTTTGGTCCAATTGGACATCCCAGCCCGATTGAATCATTTCTCGGGCTTGATCGACCACCCTGACTCAATTGCCTGATCTTTTTGGTTTGATAGACCACCCGCGTCGATCACCTACTTTAGGTCCGATTGGTCGTCCCGGCCCGTTCGACCTATTTTTCGGGCTCGATTGGTTCCCCTGACATGACCGCCCCAACTTTTGGTTTTCGTCGACTGCACTGGTACGATCATCTGTTTTTGGCCTGATTGGCTTTAGGTTTGATTGGTTGTCCCAGATCGAACAACTTATTTTTCATGCTAAATCGGTAGCCGCGACTTGATCACCCAATCTTTTGGGTTTGATCGACCGCACCGGTACAACCACCCCCTTTGGATCTGATTGGTAGTCTCAGCTCGATCTACCCATTTTCCGGGCTCGACCGACTACTTCGGTCTCATTGCCTGATCCTTTGGGTTTGATCGACAACTCCACATCGATCACCCAATCTTTTGGGTACGATCGATTGTCCTAGATAGATCAACCCATTTCGGTTTGACTAGCCGCCACAGCTCGGTTGACCTGTCACCCATATACTTGTCTGTTTTTTGCATCATATTGCATGTTTATTTCCACGTGTATGAAAATCTTAATTGGTGAGGCCTATTTTCTTATTTAGAAGTTGACCAAACCCTTAATATAGTGTGATTGGGGAATATGATTATTCAGAATTAGAAATGAAGATCAACCAAAATAATTTCAAAAGCAACATTTTGCACTTTATATCATTAGAATTTCTGAAAGCAACATTTTGCACTTTATATCATTTAATGCCCTCTGAGATGTCCCTGCTCAAGAATGTGTACCTCTTGCATGATTCAAATGTATGGAAGAGTACTGCTTCGGAGATGTAGACATTGTTGGAAAAAGCATTTGGTATCATGTTATGGGGGTCTTTTTTGATGCAAATGTTAAATTTATAATGGTTAGCACCCACATAAAATGTTTGTCTATGAGGTTCTTTTTCTATATGTTTGTATTCTATTTAATGAAAAATTTTGGGCCAAGATTAGTCTCCAATCTATCGATTTTATTTCAAGATGCTTGTAATAATGATTTTGATTTATTATCCATGCATTGAACTCATACAAAATTTTCTTTATTTAACATGACTGATGTTAGATAGGACTCAAAGGAGAAAAATGTTTCAAGTAGCCGATCCCACGTATTGGGATGAAGGATTTGTTGTTGTTGTAACATTGTTAATTTTACCTTTGTTTATATGTATGAGAGTTGTCTTCGAATGACCTTGTGATGGTGATGGGTGGCCTGTGACCTTTTAGTGAGATTGAGTGGAAGAGACTATGAATCTATATTAATGTTGAGGACGTGTTGTGGAGTTTATGATAAAGTGACGAGGAATTCAAAGGGGTATATTAGTAGAAATGCTAAGACTTGACCAAATTGGGCTATTTTGGGCTGGTTTAGAATATTGCTTTGAGGAATGGGCTTTCGATGAGGAACATGGCTGAAGGTTCTAGTGGATGAGTAGCTTACGATATGTAGTCATATGGAGTACATGACTAGATTTGGTGGACTTTATGTGCGTGTCGAGTTGTTGAGAAAAAAACCCAAGTTCTCATCTTACCTAGCTTGGGGGTAGGTGTGAGATTAAGGTTGGGTCGAGGCTGGTTGTAGAAGATGATAGAGATGCGAAGAAAGATGTGAGAAAAGTTAAGGTTAGGAATTTAAGAGAATATCATATAAGAAAATAAAACAATTATAGCCAAAAGGAAAGGCAAAACCAAGCTCCATGATTAAGAAAAGGGCAATACTTCACTCAAAATATTTCACTCAATAATTGAAATTATAAAGCATTTTAGCTTATATTTACGAGTCTTATTAATCTCATAGGGCGAAAACTTTTGGCGGGAATAAAAAAAGAGAAAAGTGGGGTTGATGGCCATCAATAAAAGATTAGCCCCAATCACTCATTTTTAATTTCTTATTGCCAATGTTGATCATACAAACATCTAAATAGAAATAAAATGTAAGAAAAAAAAATTTAAATATAAATTACTTTCAAAATTTTTAATTTATGGACTTATTAATGGGCTCTTGTAATTGGGCCTATTCTTTGATCTTTCCCTTGGACTATGGCCTTCAATCTTATAGCAAGGCTTTTAAGTTGACTTTCTTGATTAACAAGATGCACATAATTATCTTGTCTTGATTTTCTTTGTTCTACCCATTATTTGAGGAAGTTATTGCTTTACCAATTCTTTTAAAACTTAAATAATAATTTATTTTACTTAACTAACCTTTTTTCCTCTTAAAAAAAATCAAATTTCCTTTCTTTCTTTTCTTATTCAAACTATGGATATTCTTTGTGGGGGTTTAAAGAGGTGAGCCTTGAGTGGTCTAAAGCCATGCATGAATTGCATAATAGATGTGAACTTAAGCTGGAATAATTGTGCTTTCGCAATGGAGGAATTTATATTAAGCTCGGTCATCATATTGGTCAATTGGTATGATTGAGGTCTATTTAGTTAAATAATTTTTTTTGGAAGCAATATTCCTTTTTTGTATGAATATAGTTCTCTTAAATTTACTACTAAGATGATATAAGGGTTCGATTAAGTTTTAGATATTCATTTTTATTTTGTGCTTTTGATACTTGTCAGAAGTGAGAGTCCACATGCACATACCTGTTAGTTTTGCTGATTGGTTATTTTTTGTTACGAGTTTATGAAAATTAAAATTCATTCATCATAGGAAAAGAAAGAGATTTAGCAATGAATAATCCTTTGTATTGTGATCTAATGAAATTTTATTTGTTATGTTATGCTTATTTAATTATTTTGGTATAAGTTAAACTTTAAAGTTGTGAACTTAACTGATATTACTTCTATTTATATTATTATAATTATGTTTGCCAAATAAATTGTGTATTAGTTGCTTTAAATTGGAAAAAAAAATATTTGCTTTATCTTGAGCACTAAATTGAAGATAACTCAAATAATGTTGGGAAGCTCCACTTATAATTTTTCTGCTTTGTTTTTTTGTGGAGCTCCTTAAACAGAATGAAGCTTAGGATTTTCATACAAGCATGCGGGTTTAGGAGATTTCTGAAAAATGTTGCATGTTTAAGTCTCCTTAATTGTAATAAGTTTTTCAACGCTACTTATGACCAATACATAAAATAAGGAGGACATGTCAATGGTTGTCAATAATAACATGTGAACTCATAGGAATAATAACAAGAAATCGCTAGATCGGTGTCACAAGAGTATAAATCTTTCACGTCCAAAAAATTCTGACAAACTTAGTTGCAATTTTCTTATCTCCGCAATAGAATTTTAGAATTGTAAGGGCACTTTTGATTATTTTCATCATATTGTCCCTTAGTTTATCGATCTATTACATAACAAACTCCTTGGTACAGTCTATGTTGCTTGTTATTATTTTGTGATTTGGTTCTTTTGATTATGCGGCTTCTATTTTTGTTTGCGGCATATTTCAAGCTCTCCGTACATTTCAGGCATTGAATCTATTTTTATCCGTGAATCACACCAACGAAAAAAAGTTCAAGAAAGGAGAAAGGAGAAAGGAGAAAGGGAGAGAGAGGGAGAGAGAGAGAGGGAGAGAGAGGGAGTTAAAGCAGTTGAGTTAATGAAGGGAAGGAGTAGGATTTTAGTAATCAGTGGTGTTTTTGGATCTAAGAAGTTGGATTCCATTTTACATTTAATACCCATCTTTTATAGAGGTGAGCTTCTCTCTAGAGAGAGAGAGAGAGAGAGAGAGAGAGAATAAAAAAAATGCAATTACTGAAACGTGTGTAGTTATTAATTCATGCATATTAATTAATTAAATGTAGAATTTCTCATTAAACATCTTAGCCATCATGCAAGCTGAGTTTCAATGAAGTTTATGAATTTGGGTTACCTGCATAATTAATTATTATACAACATTAACTACATAACCTTAATGCTAAACAATAATTTACATTATTAGCTTTTAAGAACCTACAAACTCATGTTATTTATGAAACCTTAAACTTCAAACTTGCACAGCATATAAAATATGCAGACACATGTAAACATATGTGTTGTATCAATCACTTACACAATGTGTTGGAAATGGACCATGAATGCCACTGTTGCTAAAAGCCAAAATTACTGTATGTGGTGTAAGAATTTCAGTATTATTCTGTATTTCAAATTAAAACATCAAGAGAAAATCCTGATACAACAAGAATATTTCAGTCAAATTATGACTGCAAAATAGTCAGTCTAAGCAACTCAGACTAATCCTAGTCACACATCTAACGCAAATGTTACTTTCAGCAATAAAAATCAACATATTTCTCACACAATAACATGAATCATATCAATTGCAAGACAAATTACAATTACGAACTTGTAGCCAAAATGTTTTAAAAATTGAAATATTTACTAAAGTTCTTATCCCAAGCATGATATTCAATGATCAGGGAAAGAAAACATGCAAATCAGCCTTATACTGAAACATTCTCATGCTGTTTCGATGCTGAACTTCGAGCAAAAGATAAAGAATAACAGCAACAACAATCCATTGCGTCCTATTTAGTGTCATATTTTCATTTAATTCTAATAAATTAAGATCATTTTTAATACAATAAGCCTAAGTCTTCTTAGGTCTGCCTCTGTCTTTCTTAAGATAAGTCGAATCTAAAACATCTACTCTCCTAATCGGATTATCAGATCATCGACATTTAATGTGACCAAACCATCTAAGAAGCAAAGGATAAAGAAAAAAAAATGTAGCTGCCATAATCAGTGGCCATACTGTAAAGATAATACAATTTCATATATCATATGGAGCTTTAATTTCCATCAAATCAACAAAAGATGGTCATTTCAATACAATCATCACACCAAATTACTTACTTCTGCATTCAAAATCAACTAACACTAGTTATTTCTAATTGGACCACATAAAAAAAAAAAATCAAATTTGAGTTTAGTTTGGATTAAAGCAAAAGTGTGATAATATCTAGATTACTGATTAAGAAAAACATAAGAAGATACATCAAATCAGACAGACAAACTAATTAAAGCAACAAATTTTGTCTAGAAAATAAAAAACTTCATTTTTACAAGGAACTACAAGTGAAGATCAAGGCTAACACCATCCTTACAGTCACTACAACCATGCCACTCCCATTGAGAAGTCATCACTGAAGTCTCCTCCCCCCTCCTAAACAAATCCAAAGTCCTCTCCTCTGCCACATAACCCTTCCCCTTAAACAAACGCCATGAATTATAACACTGGAAAGCAATCATACCGTGCAAATGAGCTTCGGCTGCCGCAGCAAGGTGGGCGCGCTTGGCTTGCTGGCGCTCGCGTTTGTGTGCGTTCTGGTGTCCGCCGAGCGCCTGAGATGTTGGGAAGTTGCGGAAGCAATAGTTGCACTCGAACTTCCTCGCCGTGTGGTTGGGAACATGCGTGGTGGTGTTGCTGCTGTTGTTGCTGCTTGTGTTTGAGGAAGTTGAAGGGAAGTCGAAGCCGAACAGGCGGATGGGTGGATCCGGCGGCTTGTGTTCTCGGCGGATGAAAGGGAGTTGGGAGAACGAGTTAACGTTCATGGGATCTTGGGTTTCTCTCTCGTTCATGGAAGCTGTGGTGGGAGCTATGATTTGGAGGAAATGGTTTGTTATTGGTGCAATTTGGAGCTCATGGCTGCAGGGCTGCTGATTTGATGCAGGGAATGATTCTGTTGTGGTAAGACTAATGGAGGTTTTTTTTGGGTTCTTAGAGAGAAGATGAAGCAACAGTACTGCTGCAGCTATAGGTTATTACACAGCATCCTCGTTTCAGCAATTATTAGGTATGGAGTACGTATATGACGATTTCGTTGTATTTTGGTTGTATTTGCTGTACTTATACAACCAATACAATAAAATCCGCATGCACGAAGTCTACACTTGTTAGTTTAAGTGTGCTTTCTAGTTGCTTTGCTCTCTTTTTCATTTTGCTTGCTAGCTTTGACTCATTTTCGCTATAAGCGCAGCTTGGTTCTCTCCATGTTTAGGGTATGTCTGAACGTGCGTCTGTGTATTTGTGAAAAAATTATTAGGTGCGGACTCTGCATATGCAGATTTCATTGTACAACCAATACAATCAAAATATAATAAAATCTGTATGTATGGAATTTTCACCGAATGACTATGAGCCCGTTTGAGGCAGCTTATAATTGCGGACGACATTTTCAAAAAGTCGCATCACAGTTTGGAAAACACGTTTCGGCAGCTTATCCGAAAATACGGTTGGGTTTTTACACTAAACACAAGCTGCGGGTCTAACCTCGCGGGTCGCGTTTCAGGATAAGCTGCTTATTTGAATAAGCACAAGCTGTCTCAAACACACCCAGAGCGAGTACGGAATAGGCTGTGGCAGGTTCATTAAAGCAGCTAGGTTTCTTTAAATCGCTGGCTGGCCTTGCAGGAATTGAGGACAGTGGTCCATGTTAGAGGCCCCCACTTGGTTGATGGTTCCAACAGGCAAATATATATGAAGGGGCCTATCCGGTCTGCTGCTTTTAGTCTTTACCCCATCTGCCCCTTCATATTTTTCATGGGAGCTACTACATAAAGCTTCATTTATCTAAATAATTTTTTGTGGTTGTATATGAATGTGATTATTTTGTTCTTCTTATAAATTGTTTATCTTTAGGGGCATTTACATACGTAACATACAATTCTTATGTATTTACATATCTAACGCGTAAAGTTTGACATTTACACATATAGCAACTCGGTTTCATAAACCTACGCATCAAAAAGCGTATTTCATCTCTGAAAGGGTGTCAAACTTTGAGTGTTTAGATATGCAAATACATAAGAATTGTGTGGAATGTATATAAATTTCCCTTATTTTGATATGATACAAATGTTTGTGCCTTCTAGCATCATCATATAGGATTATGAACTTATAGTCAAAACATCCTCATAAAGTTTACTTGTTATGTTTTTTCACAATTTGTGTCATTAGCAATATAAAATAAGGATTGCTTTGTCATGCGACCATAATTCGCCTATAATTCAAGTATCAGACCCTACACTCAAGATATATATATCTAAACCACATCTAATTACATAAATTTCCTTTTATTTTTATTAAAAAAATATTTTTCTTATTCTCATAGCGTCTTAAAATCAGGTACATCAGGACTTCACACATAAAGTTACATGCGGAGTCCAATGAAATCAATCCACGTGAAGGTGAAAGAAAAAAAAAATTAGCTCGGTAATACATGGGATTATTCCCCCCCGTGTTATTCAGGTGTTATTGTATGTTATTTATGTGTTATTGTGTTCTGAGAATATTCTTGTTGTTATAATAACACAATAACACATCAATAACACATGATTTTATTGGACTCCGCACTTAACTCTCGTGCGGAGTCCTAATTTTATCACCGTTACGTGACATGATTTTATTGGACCCCGCACTTATCTCTACGTGCGGAGTCCTGATGTAATATTTTCTCTAAAACCAAGGAAACCAATGCTTTCATATCCTTCTAAATCCTATGTTTAATTGGGAGCAAATTACCTCCACTTTGTGATCCGATGTTGGAAACTTCATTTGGTCTGATTTAAGGTAAGAAGACTTCCACGTACACATACAATGATTATCAAAGCAGTCGTGTATTAAAATAATATATATATATATATATAT